TATTTTTTACAATTCTAATCGTGCTACTTTGCGCGTTCGCGCGACAAAATCTTGATTATATTTCAAGCGTTACCCGTGTAACATGATTTGTTTCGAGTAAACCATGAACTTTTAGATTTTAAACGTAGACGTTACACTCTATACAGAGGAGATTATTGCGGTTTAACAATAATATTTTGTTGATTAGTTTTCAGACATACTTTTCTGGGAATAATTTCTTTTGATGTACAATATAATAGATTTTAACGAAAAATTCAAGATTTAACTCGTATTATTATGAAAAATTCGTATTTTTGCGATTTCCTTATTCCAACACAATACGACGCGAATCGCGAAAAGCAATAGAAAAATTCACAACAGTCCGTGAATATTTTAAAAAAAATAAAGACATTCGATTTTGGGATTATCATGACCATAATTGTTTTTTTTTTTTTTTTATTTGATAATGTTACGTTCGGATTAAGCAAAATAATATACGAATGTCTACCGTGCAACGAAATGTATGCTCAGTTAAAGAAATGTTGACCAAACAATTATTTTGTTCTAACTAACATATACTCAAGAAAATTAATTATTTATTTAGTTTTAGGGTCAAACATTAAAGCCATATAGCGTCCAACAGAACTTAGAATTGTCTAGAAGTGATTGTGCTACCCGGATTAAGTATGTGTTCACTATAATATAAAATTTTGATATTAGGAAAATAATTAGAACTACAAAAACGATCTAGACAATTGATTTCGTATTTGTACAGAAAACCTAATTGTAGAATTATTTTTCTGATTTTATTGGATCTAGTGATTTTAATGTGTTAAGGTTGAACATCGTAATTAATAAAAATAATTATACGACATTTCATTAAAATATATTTTTTTTCGCATTACATAATTTTAAGCATAAATAATAAATAAGTACCTAGTTTGTGACTGTTAGAGGTTATTATTTTTTTTTATTATGTATTAATATTTCTTTCCTATTTCTAAGATGTTATATTATTACAAGGTGAAACCAATTAATGCGGTTTTAATTGTAAGTAATTACACAATCAAATGAACTAAAGCTACCATTTTTCTGATTGCAAAAAATCGTAGTACAGTTGACAATTAAATACCTAATAAACGAAAATTAATTAAAAATAAAAATTATAACAAAATACAAAATGTATATAACAATTAAATATTAAAACAATAATTCTATACCTAGTAAAATGTCCATGAATGATATGAGACATAAGTAATATAGACATAAAAATAAAATTCAAACTAATAAAATTAAAACTTCTATACGGAAAAAAAAAAATTATTTTTAAAATAAATTGGATTAAAAAATAATCGAGTAATGAACAACTTTATTTGGTCAACGTAAAAATTAGCTTATTAGTTATTATTAGTAACTATTATATTCGATGTCTTTCGACTAATAAATCTATTAAACATATAAATGTTTAATCAGTTAGATATTTTAATGTTTAGAGTATTAAACAATAAGTGTTTTTATTGTTTCAGAATAATAGTATGTATAGCCGTAAATTTATTTGTTCATTTTGTTGAATGTACTAATGATCATATTGCACATATATATATATATATATATATATATATAGGATAAATATACGTGCACACATGTTCAAATTGCATACACATTCCTATATATATATATATATATTATTATGTAAGATGCATAGTTTTGAAATATAAAGTTTGTTTAATTTGTAAAAAAAAAATACATGTTCTGGCTCGTGCAGGTACCAGGTCATCTTGAAATAATGATTCAGACTGTTACACGCATAATAAAACCAATTGCAACTCAAATTTTACGTGTAAATTGTAGTGTTGCGATTGATGCAGCTGTGTGCATGTGCACGACACTTACACGTGAAACAATATTATCTGAGTAGGTATTGTCCGATGGATTTACAAATATATACGAGTATATTACATGAATACCGTAACCGAATTCAACGGTTACATACGTAATTGTTGTTTATGTTTATGTGTATTATCTTTCTTACATCGGGATTTAGTTTGAATTGAAAAACACTCGGGTTTTATACGTATACCGAACGAATCAAGGCAATCAAAATTGAATCTGTTAATTCCCAATCGGAAATTATGAAGGTACAATAGTAGAATCCCATGTTTCCGGCCCGTTGGTCTTTAATCGAAGTTTTCATTTCCGACGTCCTAATATAACTACTACAGTACACAATGTTTTATTTCCTTCGACATTTCAAAAATACAGGTAGGTATCTATTTAAAGTCTTCGCAATGCATCTGCAATTTTCCAGTCGAAAGACGACGGTATAATAATAATAATAACAATAATATAGACACTAAAGAGTTCAGTTATTACGGAATGATATATGGCAATATATGATGGTATGCTTATATGTTTATATTTATAGTGTTATTATTATTATTATTATTTTATTTCATGTTATGCGATTAATTAAATACTAATTAGACGCGTGTCAATAGGAAAAGAAACTAAACGTCACGACGTTATCAGATGAGTATGTTCAATACTGACAAATGACAAAGACTACTAGGAAGAAATCACGGATGAGCAAAAATGCAGCATACCATTCATCGTCATGGATTAATAAACGTAACTTTTTGACCTTTATATGAATAGTATGCAAAATGTCATGATATCCAAAAAAATGTGCAGTAAAAATGAGTAAAATGTGGTCTAAAATGTTTTGAACAAAAATATGACCGATTGATCATAGAACGAGGCCAAGTAAAACCAATGATATTCAATTTTAAGTTACGAATACGTGTTATATACACTTTATCAAGACCATCAAAATTATACATTTTTTCAAGACGGTTATAATTTATTATGTGAATTAAATAATTTTTAAATAAGTTTTGTACTTAATAAACTTTTTTTTTATAAAATTATTATTATTCTTAAATACTTATTTATCAAAGTAGTTTATACATTTCACTATAAATTCAAAATACATATAATTCACCAGGTGAAAAATATTTTAATACACTACATTGGTCTCAATATATTTTAGAAAGTCAGCCGTCGATTATTGTATTTTACCAAAGAAACTATGAATAAAAGTGAAATAAAATGTATTGTTTTTTAATACATTATATTATAATATTATATTGCTGTAATAAACTGTTTCCATAGCTAATAGATGTAGTCAGCTTTCCATTCTTTTGAATTCAGATAAAAGAGTGTCTATTGTATGCGTAAGTTATGATTATTTGACGACGGATATTTTGTTAAAGTATTGTAGGTACGTCTTGATTTGATTTATCAAATATTTAATTCGATTCGAAAATATAGAATAACTTATACAATAAATTAATACCCATGCATGTTCAAATAATTTAAACTATAATCTAAAATATTAGTACTAGAAAAATACTAATTAGGATTCGTATTATGAAAATTTGTTGCGCTAAATATCCCGATACGCGAATCAATGAGCATGATTCATCTGGCCAAATCGTTAAACAATTAATTGTTAATATTTTAATTAAAGTTCGTTTCAACGACCAAACCGATGCCCATCACACGTAATAAATTGGAACGTGAATCTAGATAAAATAAAATCATAATTCTTGTGTATAGAATAATATGTACACAGAAATACAACCAATTATAACGGTAGTTGGTAGCCAAGTAACTCGTTCGTAACAACAAAACGAGTTATTGTACCCTTAAGTGGGTGAATGTACCCCCATATTTTCAGTCTGCATAAGCGTACAGAATAAAAGTAATATAATACAATTTTCATATAGAATAATCCATACAGAATGGTTGAATGGTTTGCAATATTCCTGTCACATCTTGTTGGGTAGGCATCTTGAACAGAGGCGTTTTCAGGATATTTTATTGGGAGGGGAATATGAAAATTTATTAAAAGGTGAACCGTGTGAATCAAGTGCCCACACCACATTTTTATAAAAAAACAACATACATTAAATGAAAATTAAAAAATATTAGGTATATTGTTAATTAAAACATTCAATTATTAAATTTATTAAATAATATCGAGTTTTTTTGATTTTTGAGCCATTATATCAAGAACTTCTTTGGCATCAATTGGGATTTCCCTATGGATGGCCAACAATGTTAAGTTGTTAAGACGATCCTATACATTGTGTATATGACATCAAATTATGAAAAATATTAAGTTATAATATTAATTTTTTATTTTTGAAAAAAAATTTAGTATACTTAAATAACTTCGTTTCATTTTGATCAATAATAACAAGTATATGGATCTATGGGTCAAAATTCGTGTATCTGATGTACCAAAAGTATTATGAATTAAAATACTCTGTTTCCGAGCTATACCCTTTTCTTTCGCTTAGTTTCGAATGTGAAACGCGCGAAAACATTTCTACCTTGAGGATCAGTTTACACGGTATTATAGTACACGTGCTGTAAAAACCTTCGAAAATTCATGTAATGATATTAAACGCGTCAGATCGAATATATAATTTTTTCTAAAATGCAAATGACGTACACTAATAGACGTCAGTTTCTAAATTTAAAAAATAAACAAAGTACAATTCAAAACGTCGAATATGTAGACATTCAAATTGAAAAATTCGCTTCAACAACCGTTAGAATTTATAACGACTAATTTATAATATCCCAACAACATTTTTAAAGTTACGCATTACTAGAGAGAATAATTTAACAATATCAGTTGCGACAGGACAATCGTGGAAAAGCGGTACGGGGACACGGGAAAGGGATGCCCTCGTCCCTAACGTACGTACGTGATCCTGTACCGTCCTGTTTTTTGTACGGAATTCCGACCGCCAAGCGTTCTTGTGAAGCACGGAAGTTTATAAATGCAATCGTGAATCATGTACCGACACGTTTAAAAACGAATCTCTCCGAACAATATTAGTTCGAAATACGGTTGTCGGTAATAATCCCATAAAAGAACGGTTGCTGGACAGAACGATTGCCGGTCATGGCGCTTTTCGGCGAGTACGAATAGAACAGTAAACACTCACTTTGTCCAGTCGGGGTGGACCACGTGCCGGAAGATGCTGTGGCCATGTCGTCCGTGCGGTCGGAGCGGAACGGAACTGGAGCGGAACGGAGCTGGGAGCCTGGTGCGACCGACGACGATGCGATTCCGTTACGAACACGTAACACGGCGGCACGTCGAAAAAGGTCCAAAGGCGTTCGTTGGACGGCTTCACGTCCAGTGCGCGTTCCCGGCCAAGACCCTTTGCGCGCGCGTCCCACCACCGGCTGCTGCTACGACGACGACGACGACTACAACGGTCCGGGCGGCCACGCGCTCACAACAGGCTGCGCACACACGAGCGCGACACGATGTCGGCGGCGGCGGACCGCCGTCCCTTGACCTGTGTTCGATTGAACGCTGCCGCCGCGGCGATCGCGCCCGACCGTTGCCGAACGGACGTTTTCCCCCCACAAAACTTTTCCCCGTTCGGCCGAGACGACGAACCGTTACCGCCCGGTCATGCCTTCTCCCGCTGCGCGTATTTTCCGAACCTCTCGCAGTCGGCAGCCCCGCGTATCGTTTTGTTTCCTCAGCGTATCATTGCCGTCGTTTTATTGTTATTATTATTGTTGTCATTACTGCATCGAGGGGCGGCAGTGTTATTACGATTACACGCTAGCGGATCATCATCAGCTGAACAAGCGCAGGATTACTTCTTTGGAATCGCTGGAACGCGGACCGTGAACAAATACGCTAAACACTTATGTTATGTATGGTCGAAAACACGAAAAACTGTTGAGACAAAATACGTTTTGGCTCGCGACGAGTCGATGAAGACGAAAACCATGAATGATAATATACACGTCCGTGTATATAAATATTACTTACTGTTAATGTTAGCATATTGATAAAGTCCGTATTAGCCGAACAATGTCAACGTAAGCCATACATTTCGGCTCATTCTTCGTATGTAGACACGAAATCGTCCGGATAATGTTCATATTAGCCAGTCAACAGTGGAAGATATCAATAGTTAGGTATACATTAAACGTTTTTGAATATGTTAAGTAAAAGTGTTGTTAACACTCTGCATCTTGCATCCCGTTCGTGCATATTCCGTGATCCGTTATAGCACTTTTATGCGGATAGGTAAAACGCCAATACGTCGGAGTACAATATTAATAAATAAAAAAACTCATCAAAGTGAAAAATGTACAGTATATATCTTAATTGGACGTAGTATATTTCGTTAAAATTTTATGCACTTTATACGTGACGTGGATCTGTTGTTCGTTATTTTCACTTTTTTACAGTCATGTGAATTTTTTTTTATTTTAATGTGTTTTTTAAAGAAGTTTACATTTTTAACAAAATTCAAAGAAAAAAACATAGTATTATAGCATACCCAAAAACTATTTCTAATAAAATGAGAAAATAATTTTTCGTACAAATAAAATATAATTAAAATAATTAGTATCGGATAAGAAGAATAATTAATAGCACTCGCCGAAAAAGTTAATAAAAAGATAATAGAAATTTTATAGTATTACGCATAAAAAAAAAACTATTTATATCATGTACTAAATGAGATACATATTAATATTGGACATCGTGGTAATCAATGAATTATGGCAGAAATTAAAACAGGCCGTATAAAATAATTGATAATTTTTAAATCTCATGTTTAAAATTAATATTTCAAAAAATATTTAATAAAATTATATACTTTGAATTATTTTATCTTATGACGTGTTTATGGTTGTTAAGATGCATTATAATACATTATTAATACATACGTATTATCCAATGGTCCTTGACTAATGTCTAATTATTCGACCAATGTTAACTTATTCAAAATGTAATAATTTTCACGGCGGCTATTGTTAATAGTTTGCTAACAGTAGCGTATTCAGAGGTCATTTAACGGGGGTGTTTTAAAATGTATTAGTCTTATGGTAAGTAGAGCCTCTACCCCTTTCCCCGTATTAAATAAATAAATTCCATGTATTTATATAAATGAAAATGATTACATTAAGACAGCATATGTAAAACCTACAAGTTGTATACAACGTTTATTCAAATAATCAAAGTAAGTTTACAATTTGGTGAAATACCATACAATAAGGTCGATGGGGGGTGTTCCAATACCATATCACCCCCCCTCTCTAAATACGCCACTGTCTGATAAGTCGGCTATAATAAAATGTAAACATCACCCGTAACGTATGATTTGTCAAGTATAATACAATTATCGATAACTATGTAGGTACGTCTTGCGGGTTTTTCATATTCGCGCATTATTATACCGATAAATGTTGGGATAATTCAAGAAAAATTAATATAGAACTGGTATAAATCGTTAAAAATTACAAGCTTTGATGCAAATGAACATCTTAACTTAATAAATAATGAGTAGTGTTTACAATTTGACAAAATTAGTTAATTATTATGGTAATTATGAAACAGTATTATAAACACACATATATATATAAAACTATAAATACAGAGCATAAGCGTCACTAAAGAGTATCGAGGGGTATCTTTGGTACCCCAGAAATGTTCGTGGGATAGCAAGGGTATATTTTTGGTACTTCAAAAAAAGTTATAGATTTTAAAAATATATTCGAAGTTTATTATTCAAGCGTGTACGAACATAGACCAACTATTATTGTGATTGTATCCAAAATAATTATGTTTTGTGGTAAGTCCAATACGGACAATAAGACAGTGTATACCAAGATTTATGAAGAAGAATTAGCTAGTTAATCCTTTAAAAATGTATTTTTTAACTTTCTAAAAATAAACTTTGGTACCCCAAAATTTGAACTTTAGTAACGCTTTAATACAGAGCGTCCGTTTATACTTTTCGTATGTTAACAAAGGAGGCACAAACTAAACTCTGGATGATTGGAAAACATAAAAAATATAGGTATCTTGAGAACGTTAAGTGTTTTTTATACGATTATATTTTACACAAAATAAAACATGAAAAGCGGTAAACGATTTGTCGTATGACCTATGTACGACCTATGTTCTGTAACGCTATTCAAAAATGAGCACACACAAAAATAAAAACTATATTTTCTGTTAACGATTATTTTATTTATTTTAAATATGTCACTTTAAAAAAATAAGGACTTAATTTTGAGGTACAGTCTATAATTAATTATAAATTAATATAAAAGTAATATTTATTCAATTATGATATTAAAAATAACAGTATCCGTACTAAATATGTCAATTCTTTCACGGTGTTTATATTAATATTTTATTAATTGTACTATTATTTATTAAGTTTTTCATACTATAAAATATGTTGAAGTTATTGAAGTCTTAGATCAAACCATTAAACAAGGTATCAGTTATCCATATCTGTATATTTATAGTACGGATTTATATGCTCTAAAAACCACAGAAATATGCACTATAAAACATGTATTTATGCTCTTATTTTGTAGAAATATGCCCTATATAATAAAAAATATGCAAAAAAAAAAAACATTAACTGAACTTATGTGTGTTTCCAGTTGATAAATGTTGGATGACTGTGAAACATTTTTCGCCATTCACTTTGACGTTACATTTTAAACAGAACAAAACTAAACCACTTGTAGAAAAATAACCTTTATATTCGGCAACAAATTTTTTTAGATTACTAAACATAGTTGCACTGATTTTCAATATTTTAAATATAAATAAATTAAATCGAATGAAAATTACATGTATTAGGATCACGACAAACGCAACATATATTTGATTCGCGGAAATCTACTAAATACCAGATTATTATTATTTGTCCCGTCAGGTCTCAGATAATCTAAGAAAATGATTTCATCAAATTACAGGAACTATAAATATAATTATAAGTATGTTATTTTAATTAATATAAGCAAAATATTACATATTATACATTTAAAAACCATACATATGCAATAAAAAAATCGTAAAATTACAAAATATGCAAAATAGAACGTTATATTTCAGATATTTTATTATAATTATAATTTTAAGTTGTATCTTACCTAGCTCCTTTTTAGACCGTTTAGGAAAAACATGCAAATGCTCATAAATCCAGATCCTACTTATGATATTATAAATTATTAAACATATTCTATAAGTATCAAAATAAATCACGTTTAAATTGTAATAAAATTGATTATATTTTCATTGTATAATTTATAACTTAATTGAATATTAATTACGAAAAGTGAATTTTATCAACAAAAATATGTTTAATAAGAAAATTGTCTAGAACAACAAGTACTATCAAATATAGTTTAGGTTAGGGATGAAGTAGCCAAAAGGGGGAATTATTTACATGGATCAATCCAGTAGTCTTTAGTAATATCTATTAGAACTTATACATTATTTCTCATATAACATGTAAATGCGTTATTAATTTGTTTGTAATAAAAAAATAAACATTTTCTGTAAATTTTAAATATATAATACAAAATTATGAAAAAATAGGTTAAGCTGGACGCTAAATAGTAAATGATAATGTATTATACGTGTATTTGTATAGTTTATTGAACATATAACTAAGTCTAAATAAAAAATCTATGAATAGGCTGAATAAAATTAAAACTTATTTATATCGGCTTTAAAAATCACGAGTTAAAATAAATTAAGGCTGAGCGAGATTATTTATTTTCATCTAATTGGAAAAAAAATCTTTGTAGAAGAGCTTCGGCCAGAATTCCAACAGCTCCTGGCCATGTACATTCATTGTAAAGCATGTTTCATCCAAGCAAAATATTTCTATCTCAAAAATAATGTGGAAATAATGAAATAATAAGGAATTAGCTGAAGAAAGCGTTATATCTACGATGAGGATTGATGAAATTTACTAACAAAGAACCGATTCAAATTTTACAAGTATGCCGGTAGTCATGTCTCACTTATATATCATCTACCAAACGAGAATAGCTGTGAGCATTCATTATTGTCAACAACGTCAAATTTTCTATAAAAATCCTTGATTCCAATAACATATTAGAAAGCCTGACTAATACTATACAAATACGATATATATATTTATATATATATACTTCTGATTTTCATCCACTATACAATTGTATAAACAGTGGTTATTATTTGAAAATATACAAGTATGAATGATAAGTTTTTATAAATCAGTTAGGCTTTTTTTCTAACATTGTCGAAGAGATAACCAATGCGCAAATTAATTTATTTTTAAATATACACAGTATACATATATGGCTAACACAGTTTCATCTAGTGTTATAATAAACATTAATATAGTTCATAAATCAAAAATGAAAGGCCATCCGACAAAGAGAGCTCTCTTATAGACTTCTCTTATCGACTTCCTTAAAATTTCCGGTTCACGAATATATAAAAAACAAATTTTTTGTTTCTCCAAATTGCT